CAGGGAAGGGTTGTTTTCAGTTTTGAGAATGCTTTACTGAGTACTCTCATTCTTGAGCGTTCTCTGGCGTTTGCCGCGTTCCGTTGTTGAGGAGGTTTCTCAGCATGACAGTGTTTGTTTGAGGTGTTGTCGATGTCCTTTCCTGAACTCTTCCGTCGACTACGCGCCATTGTATCTTTCTCCCAAATGTCGTCTGCTTGGAATTTTTTCACCAAGATGAATGAATGTGTGGTTCAGATGATACACGTTATAGTTGTGACTTCGTTGGTGTTACTGTGATAGTATTGTCATTTACTATCAACCTAGTAAGGGAGTTGTTCACTGTTGTTAATCAGCCACTTGCCCAGACGACAGAACCGACCTGAAAAACGTGTATGGGTTCTTCGGTCAATTTGTAGTTCTCAAAAACTCATCAAAAGTTGTACTTTGTTGTTAACTTTAAAAAGAAAAATGTTTCTCATAAGTACATTATACATACCTTGAGATTCCCGTGTGGTCGATCTAACACACAAATATCTGTTGGGATACTTCAGTCGTGTGCCAAGCTGCTATTCGACTCACTAAAACTTATAATGAATGATTGTTGCAGAGAACCAACGATTTCAAGAAAATAGAGCAAGAAACAGAGCCATTTGATTGGCCGCTCACACGTGACGCAGTTTCGGCAGCTCTAAGTTTGGGCGTAATAAGATCCCTTGGCTAGTATCATTGTGTAATTATATTAATCTTAAATTAATGAACAAAGGTAAGTCGGGTTATGATAAATACGAGTAAAGGTATGCATCATTTCATCAACCGTGGGTGATTTATGACACAATTATGAATCTAAACAAAGTAGGCATATTCTTTACACCTAGACTTTTTGGGATGTTTAACGGAGTCTTTATTCATAACTTTTGACTGCGTTATTAATTTGGAACCTAACTAATATTTTGACCAGAATACAAACTACATTTTACCCGTTTGTTAAGTTTCATTCCTCTCCAAATGAGCATATTCCCTAACATCAGTCATTATAATACGCTCAGTTGACAGTATTCTAAACAATATTCGGTTCCCCTTACAGCATAAACTTTTTATAAGTCTTGTTACTTCTCATTAAAGTTACCCTAGCTTCGATGTGTTCGGTTTGTATATTTTGATAAAACACTAAATTAGCGTTGTTTCCCCGTCTACCAGTGCCTTGCCTCTAAGTTTTCCTGCATATCGATATGTCTACTTGGTGCGTGCTATCATAGCAGGAAAAACGGCTTTATAAGCTTTTGTTTATAAGTTTTTATATCATTCAACAAGATAATTAATAGTACTGAGCGGGTGTTTATAGGCCAGCTATGTTTAGAAGACTTGTGAAAAATAACGGTTCTTAGTACCTTAGAAAATAGGCATCGATGATCTACAGTGAAGATTCTTGACTTTAAACTACAGAAATCTCAGATGGTCGAGAAAACTCATTTTCAGTTTATCTAAAAGGACGGCCCCGAATATGCTAATCAAATAAATGCGTGGCTCAGAATCCTCAAAATTGCAACTACTTATTTGTACTGTGAATAAATAAAGAACTTGAGACTTTGGCAAAAAGATTTTATTTAAAACACGATCGAATGAATTGTTATTTCAATTCTTATTAATATCAGGGACAGTAAGTAGTGGTGAAAAGTGGGTATCGGCAACATCCGTTTTCTTTGAGAAGGGTGGCTTGGGGACAAATCTCGTGGGTGTCCCTCATTTTACTGATGTAATAACAGTAAAACAAAGTGACTAGTTCTTGTTGATTGTGTTTATTTTTATAATGAAACATTGTCGCACTGGTAATGGATTGTAACTACAAGCGTTCCAAGATTTATGGCATGTTATCTCTACTAGGATTTAGAGCTGCTCAGGAATCTGAAATTTGAATCTTAGATACAAAAAAGTTTCTATGTGAAGTCGAGAACAAAAGACAAAACACCACAACACCAGAAAAATAGCTAATGGTGTGATACATTCATATGCCAAGAATTGTAATATACTGACACTGATGGTGTTAATTGTTGTCATTTTGAGGTTAAATCCTTAGACCAGCACGCTTCTAGGTGTAAACCTATCTTCATAGTTTACATGTTCTACGTGCTTACCAGGCATTGGAAGACTCATTTAGTCATCCGAACACGGTTTAATGATCTCCAACATAATACATTTGGATTTGTTTAGCAGTAAGCACACCATGCTAGTCTATCAAACCTGTCAGTCTTACAATTTAAGAACCATCTTCTTTGGTTATCAATTCCTAATAATTGTCTTTGGAATCAATTTGGTGGCCGGATCCTCATTTATTTGGCCATGTGACGTATCTTTATGGTAATGGCATAGGCTCACAATTAGTTTGAATGAACTTGAAGCATTTCCTGGTTAAAAATGTTTGAAACAGGCCCATCGTTGAGGGTCTATTGGAAGAAACATTTTGCATAATTTGAGTGGCACACATTTTTGTCTATGATTGATTAAGAAAGCATCATCTATTGAACACTGGAAGACGTATAGCTATTAACGCAATAAATGATAATGCATTTTTGAAAAACGATGCTGCACTTGAAAAGAACAGAGATCGTCAATGTGGCAGTTTTTAAAATATATCAGCTGTGGAGTCTCTTCATAAACGTGAGCCGTTTTCCCTGACATCAATGTTCATAAGAGAAATTAGCGGCATTTTACCCCCAACAAGATACACATTTCCTAAATATTTAGCACAACTAAATGTACGAGGGCAATCAAAGGCTAATTCATCCCCTTAGCGTCAATTCTAGAGCTTTTAATGTAATTTCACAAGTACGTTGAAGAACGTTCAAAACATCACCTTACACAAAATAAAAGAGCCAACAAAGCAACTAATATAGATTCAAATTGAGACGAAAACAGAATAATACGAGATACACAATCAAAAATCATTGCAATTTTTCTAATTTTTTAAGTCGGATTTTCCTTCAGAAAAAGTTCAAAGTGTTAAATATCTATTATCTTTTCGCAAGGTGCATTTTAGATAGAATGTCAAGTATCTTGAATTTCGTATCCCCGGGAACAAGCCGACTGACCTCAACATTTTGTTTATAATATCTGATAAGGCGACAAATTATTCCTTAAACAGACTTTACTTTACGACACGTTTCAGTGACACTATTAGTTTCTTTTAACACAAACTGCAATTTTATATTTCTCAAAATAAACAGTTGAAGCTGTAGGTTAAGTTTTAAATCTAGTTTACGTATAATGGTGAAATTTACATCTGCAAGTTCAAATAAAACACCCATCCTCTAAGGCATGTAGAAATGTAAGTGCTTGACTAATTGAGTCCATGGCAGGAACAAGAGGAAAACTCCAAATAGTCTTTCCATCGATTATTCACTTCTGCAATTCAGTCTGACGTCTGATTATTATCTCTAATGAAAAAATTGAAAATTTTTATTGTGTGAATGTTTTGATCCCATGTAAACAAGCGACTCCTGCTGCTGAGTCTCAGATAATTGATTCTTTTTTTAATTTATATAATAGTTGGGGCGAAAATATAATAAGAGACATTTTAAACGATAACTCAGAGTGTGCCGCAACATTTTTAATATTAATTGTCATCAGAATTGATTCAGATGAAATCATTCAAATAGATGAGATAGGTTATACGGTCAACAGGATAGTTGATACTATTGAAGTAGTACCATTGAGTTATTGAATATGGTCACTGTCAGTATCCGCATGGGTGTCCATTAAACACCTGGTAGTAAGGTCCGTGAAGATAGAAGCCAGACCATTCTGACAGCCATCTACAAATGGTCATGATGACAAGAGATAGGCAGAGTAGTACGAACCTTGTCAGTCACTGCTTTCTGTCTATTAAAACTTGATATGAATGAAAATGGTTCAACGAGCCAATAAACTGTTCGTTGAACTGTTTAATAGTTGATTACTTCAACGCGTCAGCCTCCCCAAAGGCCCACTCTTTCCCCGGGACTCTTTCCCACATGTACATCCATCTACCATTATACCAAAAATTGAAAATGTTAACTTTATTTTTGAGCCATGAATGGTAAATTAAATGTATCTGGTGATATCCACTTGAACCCAAAATCAATTTTTAAACACCATCAAAAAATCGCAGCAGGATTCGAATGAAAAAATTGAAAGTCGTGACAAATAGAATTGAAGTCCTTGAAAATGTCAAATTGCCCGGCATTTGCCCTCTAATGCAAATTTCGCAGTTTTCCCGATTGTATTTTGAATGTTCAAGTACAAGTAGTTACTGTTGCTGGTATTGTCACGTCGCGTAGTAAAGAACCTGCTTGTATTGTCCAAGGTTGTTCATACAAAATAAATTCAACATAATATATCTCATTATAAAGTGATGGTTATAAATAGATGGTTAATTTGTTAATTAAAATATAATTCAACAGTCGATAAAGCTATACACGATTGTCTTACCTGATAGGTAACCTTTGCTTTGTAGTTAGTTAATTACGGAGATGATCAGTCAGAGATAATAGAGGCAGACTAAGGTTACTGATGGACACATAGAGCAGGCGTCCCAATATTGTGTGAATCCTGATACAGCGTAGCATTCAACAGCAAAACTAGAGTTGCATTCAAAAAAGTTCATTTTTTCTAGGTTTTGGGTGGGTGGGTGAGAGCAATAAGGGGTGGTGTAAAGGAGCTATTGAGTAACTTTGGGGATGCTTGGTAGAATTAATGTGGAGTCAAAACTGTTCACCTCTCTGACATGTGGATCTCTGAGAGGAGAAATGGTTCAAATGGTTGATAGGAAAGGTGTTGACAGCTCAAACAGAATGTCTTTAAAGGAATCGTTAATACTTTCACAATTGTAACGCATTATTTGACATTAAATAAATACGATGTACAATTATAAAATACAAATATATACAAATTTTTTAACAAATACTCTACTGGGTGTATTCACAGGTGATCCACTCGATTACGCTGGTTACCGAAACGGTTCGTTTTGGTAACAAAATGTCGGAACGTCGAAGGTACGATTTTTCTTTTTTCTTTATTTCACGCGTTGTAGGCAGAATCCCCATGACGTTTTTTCTCACAAACGTGTATCAGTATCATGTGTTTTAGAAAAAGTTCATGTTTGCGAAAAATAGCTCAGAAGACAACAGAATCGTCGATTTAATTCCTCACTTAAGTTACATAAACGATTTGGGTTAAAAGTGCAGATCTTAACTGTTTTTCGAAAAACCGTTTATGTACATTGTAACTTAAGTGAAGAATTAAATCGACGATTCTGTTGTCTTCTGAACTATTTGTTCGCACATATGTACATTTTCTTAAACACATGATACTGATACACGTTTGTGTTAAAAAATGTCATGGGAATTCTGCCTACAACGTGTAAAATAAAGAAAAGAGAAAAATCGTACCTTCGACGTTCCGACATTTTGTTACCAAAACGAACCGTTTCGGTAACCAGCGTAATCGAGTGGATCACCAGTGGTATTCGTTTAGTGAACATTTAAAATAAAGTGTGTTTTAGGTATGTTAGTCTATATACAGGGTGGTCCAAAAAAATTGGAACATTTGATAATTGAACGCAAAACCTTTATTTTTCTTC